ATATTTTACAAACTCACATATATTGTAAAATAAACTTCTATAGTCTGAATTCTTAAATAATGATGAAAATATCATGTCTAAAATAGAGACGGATGGGAATCCAAATCTTTTATAGTGAAGTTAAATCTTATTTGTGAGTTCGGTAGTAATAGCAGAAAAAGATCTCTTATGTGCATCCATGTAGTAGAGTCCATTCTGCCTTCAACTTATCCAATTATCTTTCCCGAATTCCAGTCATCAAAGTCGCAATAAAAAGACTTAAATATAATTTTGCAGTTTAAGTCTTGTGATAGTTTATTCACTGACACTAAATTAATACATAATTTAGGGACATGTAATACATTTTTCAGAATAAGGGTAGGTCTAAATTTAACATCGGCCTTGCCTGCAATAATATTGATGGAATCATCTGCAATAATAATCTTTTTATTACTTAAACATGGAACATATATATAAAAATATTTGGAAGTATTGGTCATATGGTCTGTGACTTCCGAGCTTATAATCCAATAATTTTCAAATGATTTATCCTAGTCATTTAGTTCCTGTGAAGTAAGATCCATACCTGAGTGTACCAATAAACCGATACTTGTTTGTTTCTCCACGGACTCAAGTCGAACCTTTAATCTTTTTATCTATATTCTGAATTTACTAAGATGTAAAGTTGTCACGCTAAAATTTGTTTCCACAACATGGAACATAATCACCACCATCTTTTGAGAATTGAATAGTAATTAATTATTAAAAAGAAAAAATTACCGAAAGGATTTTACCCGAAACACGTGAGTTGCGTGAAGCTGTTTGTGTTTGGTCGCAATGAAGGCAAGAGAGAGAGCTTGTAGACAGCTGTTGGAGACTAGCGGCTATACGGAGTAGCGACTGGTTCTAGGATCGATTATGAAGGCCGGCTAGTGGTGTCTGGCGACAGAAAGGTGGTGACCGGCTATGAAAGCTTACCCCTTTTAGCCTTTCTTATTTTAGCAATGAGGACCGAATAGAATTTGTAAAAAAGTTTAGAAATTTCTTAATCTAAAACTTTGATATCATACTAAGAATGGTTTTAATTAATGTACTTAGTTGAAAATTACATCTCTATATATACAGGTTTTCTAGGAAATAAAAAAAATAAAAAATTAATTACAATCAATTACAGAGGTATAATTATACCTTTATTTTTTTCCTCTTCAATACCTTGATTTATTTTCTCTTTAATATTCTGATTTACTTCTTTTTTGATGTCCTGATTTATTTTGTCTTTAATGTTCTGATTTACTTCCTCCTTAATACCTTAATGTACTGCCATCTTTAATAGTTCCTAAATAATTTTCTTTTCTGCTGCTCTACTTCTTCTCTCTTGCTTCGCCCACCATTCTTATCTTGCTTGTTTGCTGGGCCACACCCTATTTTTTCTTCCTATATTTGCTGCTGACTTCGGCTCCTTTCTTTTTTCAGAAATTGCATCCTAGTGAACATGAATTAGCTCTTTTCTCTATCCAACCCGTATGCTACTACATTCTTATAACTCTTAATATTGTTCTTTCGGAGTAATCTTTAGGGCCCACCTCGCAATCCTTTTCCCACAAAGGTCAACTAAGATTAAAATAAGCAAATATTTTATCTATTAATTATCTCAAACCATATCCTCCACAAATTCTCCTCCCATTTCCAGCCAGAGCAGATTATGAGGCAAGACTATTCCATTTTAAAATTTTGAATTTGGCTGCTCATCAATGCCGGTTTTTATTGCTACTCCGTCATGGATAGGATATGTGACTAAGACCTGCATAATTCCAACGCCACCATTGAGTTATCATCTTGGTTCTTAATTCCTGATGATGATTTGTGTCTTTTAGCTATTTTTGGCTTGGTTGAAGGCAGCTCCTTCATAGCACTTGAATTCTATAGCCTTGCCACCACAGTCGCCACCTCCCTCCACCCCAAGCATCCTCTTCTTTCTGGTATACCCACCTTGTTTGTCCATTAGCCCCCAGAAACCTCAACAATCCTATTCTTACAACATGACAACCAATTCATCTCCCAGATCATAATCCTTATTTCGATTTTTGAATTTATTTCGAGATTAGAGATAAAGTTGAGTAAGAGAGAGCTTATTAGTATCAATTTGGAAGACATGATAGATTGCAATAACTTAGTGACAACGATAGGTTGCAATAAGTTGGAGCTGCTTATTTTCTTCCTAAGGGACCCACTATGTAGTAATCCATGTAGCATACTCTTTTGGAAGAGGGTAGAGAAGAAAATAGCTAAGCGGTTAAAGAGTTAAAAGGGAGGAGGTCTCTTCAATCTAGAGGGTAGGGCCACATTGACCCAATCATGTCTTTCTAGCATTCCACTCCATTACTTATCCCTATTTAAGATTCTTGGTGGAGTAGCAGACAATTGAGGATTATATGAAAAGGTTCCTTTGGTTGGGAGTTAGGGAGGATTATAAGGACCATTTAGTGAGTCGGGAGATGTATAGTAAATCTAAGAGTTTATGAGGCTTGGGAACTAAAAATCTCATAGAAAAAACATATCTTTAAAGGCTAAATGACTCCAATGCTTACCAAGGGAACTAGACTATTTGCGGCATAGAGTGGCTAAAAGCATCCACGGGAGGAAGAGAGAGGATTGGGATGTCCACGCAAGAAAGTATTTCTCTCGTTGAAGTCCCCAGAAGGCCATCTCTCAACTGTATCCTGTGTTCCTTCCCCATATGCTCATTTATCCTATTTCACAACAGCAGAGAGAAGGACATTTTGGAATTTCTACTTCTCTCAAAATCTTTTAAATAAGGATACTCTAGACATTTTGTCCTTATTAGATTTATTGGCACCTATCACCATTTCCTCCTTGTCTGATAAAAGATTGTGGAACCTAGAATTTTCCAATATCTTTACTTGCAAATCCTTCTTTGAATACATCATTAATAACTCTATCAGTACATTTATAAATGTTGTTAAGGGACTCTATAATGCTCCCGTTCCTTCTAAGTTGAAGTGTTTTGCTTGGTCTATGATTCATCAAAAGCTAAACACAAACAACCTGCTCTAAACTCGTCGTTCTAATCGAGCCCTTCCTCCCGATGTTTTGTTTTGTGCTTAAGAGGAGAAAAAATACATGCCAATTTGTTCCTTCATTGAGGTGGATTTGAATCTGGGGACAAATGTACTAAAGTTGTTTCGGTGTTACTGGATATTGCCTCCAATACTGAAGAGCCTCCTAAGTGCTTTTATTAAAAGGAACGGGTTAAGGAATGCAGCCAAATCTTTATGGCATGGTGATTTCTTTGCAGGCTTTTGGTGTTTCTGGCAGACACAAAATTCAAGTTTCTTTAACAACAAAAACACTTCATATTCTAAGTTGTGGGAATGCATGGCTTTTTTTGCTTCCTTATAGCTAAAGGGCAATGATTCTTTTTATGATATTAGTATTTCCGACCTCTACCAACGTTAGGATATCTTTATACATGACAGGTAGCTTTTCTTTTGTTTCTTTTTTCTTTTCATTTTTCTAAGTTGGTATGGGTTTATTTTACAAATTCTTCTTTGTTTCTGTTTACTATGGAGGATGTCTCATTCTCCTTTGTTACAATTCTTTCCTTCGATCTCAATAAATTCTTCTTCTTTTATCCAGGAAAAAAAAAGGGAAAAGTTAGCATTGACAATCAATTTTTGGATTGTTCTCATAATAGTCACTGGAAGGCAGTTGTTAAGTTTCTTTGGCAAGCATGGCGCATGTTATATATATGTGCTACAACTCGAAGGGAAATTCTAGAGTATAAGAGGAACATTTTCCTCAATTGCCTTTTCCCATCTACCCTTTTCTTATTAGTAATTGTTCATATTTTTCCTTTTATTATCATAGGGATTCCTATACATTACTCGTTTATAATTTCTTCATGACATATGATAGAAGTAAAACTATTCTCTTCAGTGTAAACTTCTTTAGAGGATAACACCTAATGGAACACTTCATCAAGATATAACTAACCAGTCAGCTTCATCAACTGCCATTTGAAAGACTTGGATATATTTCTTATACTGGTGTTGATAAAAACTCCACATTTCACGAATATCGCCTTTTTTTACCCGTCCCACCAAAGCAGAATTCTTACCCTGCAAACATAAGAAAAAAATTAAAGAAAGCAATGCAACAAAATAATCTGAGCAGCTAAAAGAACTAGTAAGTGCTAATCAAATGATTTATGGAACTAGATAAACAGGTCCATCTTAATTAAGGAATGAATCATACTTAACCCAGTCTCATATCCCACTTAGAACATAGATTCTGAATCACATTTCTAATTATGGATCATAAATCCCTAAAAATAGTGGAATCAGACAATAATCTATTGAAACTATATGTACCATACTTCTCTGTTTCATAATCACATCTACATCCTTCTTAAAACTGTTCTGGAAATACTAATTTCAATATTATAACAAACAGTGTTGTATACCTAACAAGTACAATTGTTTTGAGGGTATAAGTTTTATAGTACTTAGTATTGTTTGCACAAGAAGCCTGTCTTTTTTCCCCTTTCTTTCCAGATCTATGGGGACAAAAAACTTAATTATACAAGGCTAGCAACACCAAGAAAGTTAATTATACAAGAATGCCACACAAACATGTCGCAACTACAATCCCATGCTGATATTCTTTAAACTGGGGCAGCCTTCTTATACAAGAATATTTTGGATTAAATTTGAGGGATGACTCCCATTTTCGCAGCAATGAATCATTACAAGCCAAAAAACAAGATGAAATAACATTCAAAGGAAAGTGAAAATAACATCTCACCCCTTCAAAAGACTGCTGGAGGGCAGTTTTAAATTGGCGAACACCCTCTCCACTTGATGTAGGATCCAATTTTTGAGCTTCCTCAAAGGCATAGAAACGGCCTATGTTGCACAGAATATAAAACAGAAGAAAGAAGCAGGTTAAGAATGCTAGTGGAAAGCAATTGAATAAATGATAAAAAAAAAATGATATTATCCTCAGAAATGTGTTTGAAAGAATGTAATGGAGCAAAAAAAACTTCCAATATATATTAATTCTAAGATATATCGTGAATCAATTTCATATAGAAAAAGAAGATATATTAATAGGACGAAAGGAATACGAATAATGAAAATTAGGTCTCCGAAATAATAGAAAAACAGAAAAAGTAGAGACTAGCTAATCAAAAGGAGAATAGTCTGCCAATCTCTACATAAAACTGAAAAGAAGCATCCCTAAAATATTTGTTAGCCTTAGCCAGATGGAAGCTAAAAAACAAACTTTATCCCAAAGAATCAGAAAAGATGATTTGTAATTCCAAAAGGTTTTAGTATTCTACTCAAACTATATAATCCACATACCTGTCAAGAAAGCCCCAATACAGATGATTTTACTTCTGAAAAAAAAATAAAAAGTATAATATGATCACTACTTCACAAGTACCAAGGGAGTGCCTACAAAATTATTTATAAATCAGTGAATATGTCTATAAAATTCTCAAAATCTTCTAACGAATGAATAGGATAACCTATCACCATTTTTTTTTTTTTTTGAGATAACCTATCACCAATGAGCCCAAATACTTGAGCCATATCCGTAATTCTACCAAACTCCTCTTCCAACCCCTCAAAGGCTCTATTGTGTCTATCTACCCAATCCACCCAGAATTGTATAGATAGTTGGTAAGTTTAATGCCCCTTTTTTTTTTTTTTTTCTAAGGGCGTAATCTAAGAAAATTCTGCGCCCACACGCGAAAGCGTCATTCCAAATCCACCACAAACATAGAATCTTACCGCGAATCTATTACTCAAAATCACAATAAACCTACAACCCTACATGAAATATTACAGTGAAGGATAATAATCACAAACTCCCAGTAGACCCACTATCTATACTACCACTAATTATTACACACTCAATCATGCCAAAAAATGAAAACATTATTGCTCGGTTCCTCTATCTGCTAGACTCGGAAATCAGCAACTCCGATCCCGACTCCATCCCTACTCCATCTGTAAATGATACGGAGTGAGTATATACAACTCAGTACAGTAAAAATTAAGTTACAGGCATCATACACAACAATAGGGAACTCAGAGGTCCTCAATGTACTCCACCTACTTAACCTAATACCTACTCTTAGTAATTTAAAAGATAATGCATGTTAATTGTGACCGCCCCTCGACGTCCCCTAACCATACAAATACACTCACTCGTCACCAGTATCGGCGATCACCAATAAACTACTTAGCTCTCGACCCCTAATAGGCCACACACACACACAGATACCATTCTCACCCGTCACCAGTATCAGCACTCACCAATAAACCGCGTACCTCTCGACCCCTAATAGGCCCCACACACACACATATACCATCCCAC